CAACTCGGATAGTGGTATTAAGGCCTAGCCCTGGGAAGGCTAATGACATTAAGGCAGTTTCTTCACCCACCTCATCACCAAGAATATTACATGGTGAAAACTTCTATGAGGAACATGAAGATGATGAGGAACGAGAATCAAGAGAAGTTGCAAAGGAGATCACACAGAAGATGCGTGATAATTTGATGGGTCATCGGAGGGATGAAACTTTGATTTCCTCTGTATTTTCCAATGGCTATACTGGTGATGAAAGTTCATTTTACAAATCAGAACATGAATATGCGGCAGGAAATCTCAGTGATTCTGAAGTCATGTCTCCATCTTCTAGGCATTCATGGGATTACATCAATAGGTTTGGCAGCCCTTTTTCTTCGTCCTCCTTCAGCCGCATGTCATGTTCGCCAGAGTCATCGGTTTGCAGAGAGGCGAAGAAGCGACTTTCTGAAAGATGGGCAATCATGGCATTAAATGGGAATCCTCAGGAACAAAGACATGCCCAGAGGAGCTCTAGTACATTGGGTGAGATGCTTGCTCTTTCAGAGATAAAGAAGCCCACAAGATCTGAGGATGAGATTATTCAGAAGGAACAAGAACCAAGGGAATCAGTTTCATGCTTACCTGTTGATTCTATTGAAGAAGAAAGTGCTGTTGATTCTCCCAGAAGTCTTTTTAGATCACAATCTCTCCCTGTATCTTCTACAGTATATGGTGCCGGGGTCAATGTTCAAGTTTCAGATCCTGATGCTGGAAAGACAGATGTTCCCAAAGAGCTAACGAAGGCAAAGAGCATGAAATCATCGCTGAAAGGGAAGGTCTCGAGTTTATTTTTCTCCAGAAATAAAAAATCAAACAGAGGCAAATCTAGTGGATCTCAGTCCGCCCTTGCTGAACCACCAAATTCTCTGGTTCCTCCCGGTATAATTAGTGATGATGCATCTCAATGTGCTAATGATGGTGGCATTGAAGGGTGTTTGTCTCCTGCTTTATTTGGATATTTAGGAAAAGAATCTCAGCATGTAACAAGCATGGGACCAAACCAAGGCACGGTGCCACGCGAGGTAGTTCAATCTTTCATTTTCGTCTGCTATTAGTACTTGCCCTCTTTATTTGTTGCAAAGCCCCCTCCAAAACAAAACAAAAAAACTGCAGCAACCTCTAAAGCAATATACTTTGCTATTTGGAGTAAAATGCATGCATTATAGTACTGATATTTTTTTGTAAAACCTGAATTATTCAGTGTCGTATTGTCATTGCATGAATGGTTCAATTGATTTGTTTTTCGCTTCAATTTTGCAGACAGGGTTGTGTGTGGCAAAGCCTGTGGTGCCCGGCTGTGTTGGTGAAAATCTGGATCAGGCAAGTCCAATATCAGTTCTAGAAGCACCGTTGGAAGAGGATGATAATACAACTCGGGAATCCTCTGTAATTTTGAAGCAAAACCTCCTAGGTATCTCTCTCAATCCTTGATTTATTAGTTTTCTTTCATATCCTCCTTAATTGTTGTCTAATTTTACGATTTTGTGTGTTAAAACAGGAAGTCACCCCAAGTCTAATTTGATTGACAAATCACCACCTATAGGATCAATCTCCCGGACGATATCATGGGATGAGTCATGTGCAGAGACTGCCTCACCATATCTATTAAAATCCCCTTCAGTTTCAACCAAGGGGGAAGAACAAGACTGGCATGCCATTGTCCAGACCCTTCTATCCACCGCTGGCCTAGATGGCGAGGTGCACTGCAGCTCGTTTTTCGCTAGATGGCATTCGCTTGAAAGTCCTTTGGACCCGTCTCTGAGAGACAAGTTCGCCAACCTAAGTGACAAAGAGCCTTTGCATGAGGCCAAAAGAAGGCGATTGCGGTCTAGTCGGAAGCTTGTATTCGACTGCGTAAATGCAGCCTTGGTGGACATCACCGGTTATGGTTCAGACAGCTGCACAAGGACCACGTCATGCAGCGGGGCCCATGACAGGTTCTTAGAGGGTGATTCTCCCCGGTTGGCAGACCACGTGTGGGCCCGAATGACGGAGTGGTTTTCAGATGAGGTGAGGTGTGTTTTGGAGGACGGTGGGGACATCAACAACCTGGTGGTGGAGAGGGTGTTGAAGAAGGACATTGTCGGGAAAGGGTGGTTGGAAAACATGAGGTTGGAAATTGATAATTTTGGGAAGGAAATAGAGGGGAAGTTGCTGGAGGAGCTGCTTGAGGAGGCAGTGGTGGATTTGAGAGGGAGGACATGATTAGGCTTTTGATTCATTTTCTATTTAATTTTACTGTAACTCTATTATTTTGTGTATTTGATTTTCGACAATGGTGGACCTGAAAAAACCCACCTTAATTGTTTAATGCCACAAAATATTTCAGTTTATCATCATTTGATAAATGTGTCCACTCTGTGTCTGTATACAAGATTGTAAAAAAATCATGTGGTGACTGACTTTGTCTCACATTCAGATCTTTCTCTTGTTTGTATGGTGAAGAGGTGATTGGGATATCAGTGTGTTGTTATGCTAAAGAAAGCTACGCCTCCGAAAATTCTACTATGTTTTAATGTACAGAATCTAATGTCTCTTATAAATAAAAGGGTAAAGTATAAAAAATTACCTCAATTATTGGTATCACGATACTTTCATATCTCATCTTTTAAAATTGACAATGTCATATCTCATCTTACGAATTTATGCCAATATTATACCTTTCCCTTAGCCCACTGTTAATTCGTCAGTTAAATACTGATGAAGCTTGATCCAGACCCTACTTTCTATTAAAAAATTAAATAAATATTAAATAAACTAAATAAAAAAATCATTTAATATTTTTAAATATTAAAATAATAAAAAAAGTTAAAAAAACACAAAACAAAAAACAAAAAACAAAACCTTTCATCCCTTCCATCCCCTCCCCCCTTCTCTCTCTCCTTCTTCATCTTCTTCCTGCTTAAATCTTCAACAAAAAAAAAAAATTGAAGGAGGAAGAAGAAGAAGAAGGAAGAGAAAATGGGGGGAATGGGTGTGGATTTAAGGAGTGGGGTGTGTAGAGGAGGGAAGATGATGGGTGCGAGGTTGGGTGTGGAGGGAGGGTGGGTGCGGGGGAAGACAATTGATTTTTTTTTTTTTTTTTGGGTTGCACCAGATAAGGGGAAGAAGAGGAAAGAAGATGAAGATGGGGGAGAAGAGAGACGGCGCGGGCGGGATGGGGGTGAGGGGAAGGGACAAAGTTTTGTGTTTTTTTTTTCTTTCTTTCTTTTTCCTGGGTTGCAGCAAGTAGGAAGAAGAGGATAGGAGATGAAGATGGGGAAGAAGAGAGAGGGCGCGTGAGGGGGGGGGGGTGGAGTTTTGTTTTTGTTTTTTTTTTTTTTTTCTTCTGGGTTGTAGCACATAGGGGGAAGAAGAGAAAAGAAGATGAAGATGGGGGAGAAGAGAGAGGGCGCCGGGGTGGGGTGGGGGAAGGGACAAAGTTTTGTTTTGTTTTTTTTTTTTTTTTTTTTTTTTTTCCTTTTTTTGGGTTGCAGCAGATAGGAAGAAGAGGAAGAGAGATGAAGATGGGGGAGAAGAAAGAGGGCGCGCAGAGGGAAGTTTTGTTTGGTTTTTTTTTTTTTAACTTTTTTTTTATTATTTTAATATTTAAAAAATATTAAATAAATTTTTTTTAGTTTTTAATAATTTTTTTAATAGAAAGTGGGTTCCGAATCAAGCCACATCAGCATTTAACTGAGAAATTAATAAAAAAACTGACGGAGATATGATATCGGCACAAATTCGTAAGATGAGGTATGACATTATCGTTTTAAAAATATGAGGTATGAAAGTGTCGTAAAACCAATAGTTGAGATAGTTTTTTGTACTTTACCCTAAATAAAAATAATGAAAGGCTTAATTACTTTAGCTCCATTGTTTGCCTTATAATGTTGAACTTTTGCGTCACTTTACCCCTTCATCATATAGTTCTACCAAAATTGTAGCAAGGGAAAAGCTGGTAGTGACGATTGCCCTATCTTTTAAAGGGTGTTTTGAATTCAAGAGTACTCTCTGACAGAATCAACGCTTCGTGCATGCATCCTAAATATTGACTCCTATCTTTAAATGGACGATAAGGGTTGCGTTACGATACTTGTAAAATTAAGTAGGTCCGTCATATGACCCGTCCGCCTAAGTCCCCATGAAAATTCTACAATACATTGACATGTCAGATTACATTGTCAAATTAATGGCTGAATTACATATATTTATCAAAATCAACGCCCGAATCTCACTAGAAGAACATGTACGTAATGCTTTGACACATCCAGTGACTCTTCAGGGTAGTATTCCCGGAAAGTCATTCTTCATTCTCTTCGATAAAAAAAATAAAAATAAAGAACGAAAGAATGTAGATGACTTTTATGCAGTATCAATAACAACTCTGTGTCCTTAATTCGGAATTGAAAATAGTTCGTCTGTGCAACGTGAAAAACCAAATGTGCCCATTACCACACTGTACCCAGAGTGGTGGCCCAGTAGTAGTTAGTTTAAAGCGAAAAAGACGGGCAAAAGAAATCTCGTGATCCTGCCATTTCTGCATTATTCCATTTGCATGGAAGGAATCAAATAATAAATGAAACGAAAGAATCCAAGATTCCAGAAGCTCACGGGATTAATGAAAACGAAAGGATGGGTTTTCTCGTATGCTCCGGGTATCTTATACGCTAGAGGTCTGTTGGATCCTTGGTCAAAAACCTCATCATACAAAGCCATTGGGGCTAGCCTAGTGGTGAGGGCGGGTATGAGATGGGCAAGAGTAGGCTAGATCAAGGGTTCGAAACCGTCCAAATTCCAATGCAACAAAAAACGGCCTTGTCATACAAGATACTTTGAAACATAATAGAATTTTCGATGAAAGAAGCGTAGTTTGTCGATGAGGACAACAAAGAGAATCTATCACCTACAGCGGCGGCGGGGATGGTAGTTACTGTAAAACCGTTTCAAATTCCTCAGAAATGATGACAGCCAGACTCACAATGTATACGTAAATCACAAGCTTTCTTTCTTTTACATTTAATGACAACAAATTTTACCAGAAACACATCCAATTCATACAAGAAAAACAAGCAAGCACACTACTCGAGAGTTGGATATATACACCACAACTTCCTCCAACGCTGATCGGTTTTTCTCATCGGTGAGATAAAAAACCGTTTACCATCTTCACTCCTTGGATTTCATACTCGCTGACGCATTCTGATTCAGAGAGCTCAATCCATACTGTGCAACGTACAAGAACAACGTATTAGAGAAGAAAATATATTCATACTGATGTCGGTATTAGATAAGAAATATATTCATACTGAAAAGACATCAAATCAGATTCGCTACTGAAAAATAGGATCAATGTATATATTATGGCTACACTTGAGACAAATACCTTCTCTCTTATCCGTGAGCTCCAAATGTCAGAGTGACTCCCTCTCCCATCACCCTTGGTTGATCCAGATGCTTGGTTTAATTTTTGGTTTAACAGGGGCTCCCGAGTTCTAGCCCTAGCATCAGAATCATCTTCAACATCATAGTCAGGTTTGCGAGTAGAAAGCATGCCTCGCAGAGTTATTGAGAGCAGCAGAGACAAGGCCTGACGTTTCATAAAAGATGAGCATAAGGAAACAATTCAATGCAATAGTAATCTTCACTAGTGAAATATAACTCAAAAATATCTCTAATCCAAATACAATAAATTCAATGAGTAACGCAATTTGGTCAGAGACGTTAATCTTAATCAGTATTAGCCATCCAATGAGCTTTCCTCGAAAGGTCCAAAATTTGAATTCCAAATCACGTAACGAAGAGTTCTATTGATCTTAGTCCTATGAAATTATAAACATAATGATAAAAGTCATCACTACATCAGACTTAGCATACCTGTATTACAATGACAGTGAGCCCGACCCACCTACAGATGTCAATATTCTCTTTAACAAAAGATCGAAGACTGTCAAGTTGACCAGTTGGGTCAAATGGAAGATCCTGTGGAGGTATGATAAAACATATTATTCTGATGGGATAAAGATTAAGGATAAGACCAACGCACATTTATTACTGAATTTATTTGCCATCATAAAATGTTACCTTTTCCCAACGGCGATCAATTAAAATGAATGCCACCAAAGCTGCTTCTAGTAGTGTAAGCATGGTTATAAGTATTGTGTACTGAATTGTTTGCCAGTTAAGAAAAAGGTAGAACACATAATCAACAAATGCAGAAAAGGAGAATTGAAAATCAGGTTCATTCAACTCATGGACGAAAATCACGTTCATTCAACTCAACTTGCATGACATATAAAGGAGAATTACCGTGAAACTTTAAATGAAGTTCAATACCTCAAAACTATTAAGTTTGGAGCTAGTGGTAATGCTTCTTATTATGCAATAAAAACACTCTAATCCACTACCGCTTTGCCTGGACCTTAATACAAACAGTGGGAAGTAGTCGTCTAGCTTCTAATATACAAAATCTTCCAACTACCGAAGCCTTTTGTTCCTAGGGGCTCGTCAAATGAACACTACTACTGTAGAAGTCTCTCCCTTTTGTTCTATTAATACTTCTAATCACCAACCAAACTAAGCATTCACAAGTTATGAACTTGCCATGTCATGGGTCTCGAAACATTGATCTAAGTTTCAGAAGTCATAGCAAAGCAGTACCGGTACACTAGCAAAACTATTTCTTAGCTGAAATTGATGAAAGATTTATTGGCTAACTGGTTAAGGATACAAAGCAAAGGCAGCAGCCATTAATTGCTGTAGCTGCAATACAACCTATGAAATTAACGCAACAGAGCAAAATTCCCAGTCCCATAAAAGAGTAGATGAACCTGCCACCAAGAAACCAAAGCATCAAATGAACAATCAAATGGGTCCCTTTGAAAACTTGATGATTCCTAAGCATTTAATTACCAAAAATTTCAGTACCCCATTGCCCAGAGCTCACCAAAATCCAAAAAATTCAAATTTAACGTATAAAAAACAACACCCTGAATTCAAATTGCTTCAATACCCAACTAAAGAAACGTCAAAATTCGAACAAAATCGAGCATGGTTACACGAACCAGTTGAAACTCAGCAAAATTTGGAAACTTTGAAATTACCATGGCGCTGGAAGCTTGAACGAGTTCAATCCGAACCCCAATCCCTCATCGGATCCAGACACCAAATGGACTGCAAAATCCAACGGCGTGATTTGATCGGAAACCGCCCCCGAGTCGGAGCTCAATCGGAGGGAGGAGAAGGACAAAGAGTCAGGGGAAGGAGCTGAAGGCGGTGGCGGGACTATCGGAATATGGTGGTTCCACTGGTTGAGCATCCATGCCGAGTAGACAAGGATTGAGACGCCGATGAAGGCTTGAAGAAAGTTGAGTAATTTGAGCACGAACGCAAGGGATATGTGGCAGCAATTGGGCCGCATTTCAAGGTTTCAGAGAAATTTGGGGCTGAATTGAAAACCCTAACCTAAATCAGCTATGGCGCGCACAGTGGGAGCTGGAGGTTGCGGCAATTGCGGGTGTTTCCCTCCGCGTGATTTTTGCTATTTTGTTTTTGCTTCTTTGTATTTCCAATTTTCTGATTTTTCGAAAAAGGGATTTTTGAATTAAAGGCCTTCAAAAAGGCCCTAAACAGAAAGAATCACCAGCTTTTAAGAATGTGTTCTTGAAATTTACCAATTGTGTTATTTGATATTCACCAAGTTACAGGATGTGTCTTCGTTTACAACCGTTTACACGCGTATTGTTTATTATATTTAGTAAAAATAAATAAAATTTAATCTACCATCTTGATAAGCATAGTGGAATCTTGTTGTAAAAAACATCATTACATACAAAGAAAAACGTACAGAAATTGTGCTTAGAATTGCTTTTAAATTGACTGAAAATACTTTTATAAAAAAATGTAACTGAATCATAAAAACCATTTGAAATGTTTCATGCAAGTAATACATAATTTCCTAGATACAAGTGCTTTTAAAACTCAAAAAAATTTTACCAAAAAAATTTTCAATCATTTTAAAAATATTTTTAAATCAGCCCTAAATTTGAAAGAGGTGTATCCGAGAATTTCAATTTAAATCAGCTCTAGCTTAGATACTAATCATTTCTTCATTTACTTTCAATATACGAAAAGGTATTTATCAAGTTGAAGGCAAATGGTCAATTAATTTGTAATAATAATTATTTTTATTTTATTTTATTTTTACCATTTAACATGAGCGTACTCACGTTAGTTAGAACAGTAAATTTATTTATTTATTTATTTTTTTTTTAGATGACATCAAACTTGACTACCTGGTAGTCATAAGCTTGTGCTGGGCTAGATCTCTTTTATCTCAAAAATTTAGAGGGTTACTAAATTCATCCCATTGTCTTATTTTCTCACTCACGTTATAATCTCACCCACTTTAAAAAGTTAAAAAATTAAAATATTATTTCTCTACCCATTATAAAATTATAAAATTGTCTCTTAAAAAATATAACAAATAATATGTAAATGAAAACCACTATGGTCTGTAAATTCAAATGGAAACGACAGAGGTATCCAAATTCAAAAGAATTCAACAACGATAAATTTAAAAATACGATGGATAAATTCAAATGATCTACACACAAATTATTCTTCTACCTTTTCAATGGAAACATAATCTTCTACCTTGTTGTGAAAATTACTTGACACACAAATTAAACCCTATTTGTGACAATTGTAGTAATGAAGTAAGTAGGGATCGTTCTAACCGGGGATTAACTAGGGGTGCTAAAACCTCTAAACTGACTTAGAAACACAAAAATAAACTTAAAAACGTTTGAAAAGACTCAAGGGACTCAAAACAGATTCACAAGACTCAAAACAAGCTAAAAAACTCTCAAAACTGCCTAAAAACACAAACTGGGCAGTTTTGACACTAAACTCAACTTTGGACGAAAATTAGGTTTGAGCTTGACTCAAAATGTTTCAAAACACAAGATAAGACAGATTCTAAGCCTAAAACTTAACAAAATAGAGGGGGGGAGGGATTTGTGTTTGGACAAAATTCAATTAAATGGACAGATTGTAAAGAAAACAGATTGTAAAGCAAATTGATGTAAACCAATGGATAATGGAATGGCTAAGGGATTCTTCTCCACACATGAAATATATGCAACTTAAATCAACTTCCAGTTATCGATTCGACAAGTTATGAACCTCGACACTCCAAGTTAATTAGGTCCGCTTAAATTAACCTTAAGATTTCCCTAAGATCATTGAATTGAATGAATATGCATTGCAACCAAATTATTCCTAACAAGTTCTCTATATGAACAGCATGATAAAGATACAAGTTAGAATCATTACGTTCATTGGAAATCATAAGCATCGACAAGGCAATTGTAACTATGAAAAGCATGATACTTTCGCCAGGAATCTACTTAACACGATCATGACTAGTGACCTTCACTACTTGTGGATATAAACTCATAACGATTAGGTGAAACAAATTCATATCCTAGCACCAGATTCAAGCATGCAAATTAAGTGTGCACTCTCAATCAACATACAAGAATAAGTTCTAAATCACATAGTTAAACAGATTGTATTCATGACTTATGCAACGATAACTGGAGTAATCAACTTATTTCACATATATATCCATGGTTTCGAATACACCCTTAGCCAAAAACGAATTTAGCCAATCATACTCAGAGCAAAACAGAGGTTACATGAATTAGACATTGAAATATAAGAGAGAATACACCTAAAATCGTTCAACAGCTCAGAATGAAGAACCAAACAATTTTGCGCATCTGTCTCCTTCCTCTTGCTTGCGGCAGATTGGATGGGGATGAATTCTGGGACATTTTGATGATGTAGAACGGTTTGTGGGATGTTTAGAGACACGGCAAGGGATGTAGGATGGGTGTGGATGAGTGTTTGATGGTTGGGAAGTGGTGGAATGGCTGATTGTATCTCTAGGTTGAAGAATGGTGTTTTGGGGTCAATGGATGCGGCTGGAATAGAATGGACGAATTTTGATGATGAATGAGTGATGTGAAGGGTTTGTGAAATTTCTGAATGCCTTTGTGATGCTTGCAACTGCCTTATTTATAGGGCTAGGAAGGGTTTAGAACTTAGTTGAAACCAAAAGGTTTTTTACTAGAAATTCTATACATGAAACACTTAAAGGATATATGTGTGTAGCTTGGACAAGGTAGGAGACAAGATAGGTCGGCTAGTAGACAAGGTAGGACGGCTAAGAGACAAGCTAGGACGGCTAGGAGACAAGCTAGGACGGCTAGGAGACAAGGTAGGACGGCTAGTGACAAGGTAGGACGGCTAGGAGACAAGGTAGGACGGCTAATGACAAGGTAGGACGGCTAATGACAAGCTAGGACGGCTAGGAGACAAGGTAGGACGGCTAATGACAAGGTAGGACGGCTAGGAGACAAGGTAGGACGGCTAGGAGACAAGTTAGGACGGCTAGGAGACAAGCTAGAAATTAGGCACCATGTGTGAATAGATAAAGCCTTCCAGAAATAAGGTTTTTAGGCCCCCTTGCAGCTCCCTAACTGAATTCAAGCCTTCAAATTCGTCCATCCTCATGCCTCCATGCTTGCACTATCCAATCTTGGTCCAAAAATGCTCTAGAATGCTCCAAATTGCTTCTTTTTGCATACTTTGACACTAAAACCTGAAATTGCACGAAAATGACTTTAAACACTAAACTAACTGTTGTTTTAGCTAATTAAATGCAAGAAAACAAGCTAACTAAGTAGCATAAATATGCTCCTATCAAATTCCCCCACACTTAGCTTTTGCTAGTCCTCAAGCAAAACAAAGATATAAACATAACCTAACCTTCCAACATTTGCTTCAGGGATTTCCAATGATACATAACTTGCCAAAGATCATTATTCCCACAGATTTTAGTCATCCCTACTCTTGAGCATATACTTAATCATAGTTACCATTCACTAGCTCACATTTAATCGTTTAAAATAACATTATGGACGTAGTAACATGCCTTAGAGAATCCACTCAATTCCTTACTGGATACACTCTTATTTTCACACAGATTTTCTAACTACACTCCCTATACTAAGCATATGTGAGAAGATTGATGTAAACATGAAAACGAACACTCACACATGTTATAACAAAAGAAGCACTTTTCTGGAATGATTAAGCATTTATAGATATGATCTCATGAATGGAATGCTACTACTTAGATGCGAGAACCAGGGACACCATATGCTCAAACCAATCCCAAACTCCACATATTGAAATACATAACACTCAAGATAGCAGTTAAGGATTGTAACGGGGCTAAGGGGTATTGGCTAACAAAGAAAGGTTAAGGATAAACAAAAGTTCTTAAAGCGATAGCAAACAAGTAATGAACTTGGCACTTAGAATTCACTTTTGCATGCAGAAAATCACTTAGACACACAAGGGGATGAAATACACAATACTTAGGGTCTAATTTAACTTTTTGGACCCTTTCTTCAACAACCAACACTTGTGAGTTCTTTCTCACTTATTTTGACCTCTTGTTCATTCTTTTCACATTTTTTTTTTCTCGTGCCCAATTCTTGTTTTTGGCACAAATTCTCACACATAAATCCCTTCCCCCACACTTGTTTTTCTGCACAAGAATAATCAAAAGGAATTCATTCTAAGTCATGTTCACTATGCTTTAAGAACAAAGGCATGGATGGTCCTATTCTAGGCTAGGTAAGGATAACGTGGTTTAACAAAGAACATAGGCTAAACAAGGCTCAACGGGGCTTAAACCTACAAAACAAATGAACATGGGGTACAACTATTTGGCTCTTGGTTCACAAACAACTTCATCTTGTTATGTGTTATGCTAATCAATTTTATGCTTTGAATGAAACGGGCATGAGTTCTAGTATTTGGAACTAAATGATGAAACGCCTTCTAAGTAGTAACTAAGCAAAGAATAATGAGATCATGCAACGACTTTAGAAGACAACAATTGCACAGATTATTAACTCTCCAAAGAACGTTAAAAGCTCAAGTCTCTTAGGGTTGTAGCGTTAGTTTGAGTTTCTTCCTTCAAGCATGTTACAAAAACTAATTTTTCTTTTGATTACAAGTGAATTCATGAACTATAATTACAACTAAGCATAAACCAAAGAGCATATCAAACTTTCATCCATGTTTGTAACTTACTTCAACAGTTATGCAATTAAAAACCAAATCCTCATCATTGTGTTGGAAGGTACCCTAAGACACAAAATGACTCAAAAACAACTCTTTTTGGTATTTTCAAAACAATTTTTCAAATTTTTATGTGATTTTCGGATTTTTAAGTTAAAACACATTAAAAAGCACCAAAACAACTTAAAAACACCTTAAAACAGCAAGGAACAAGTCTATAAGTAATGGGTGATAAAATCCCACGAATTTGCATCAAAAACACTTAGTTGCCCCCCCCACACTTCAATCAAACATTGTCCTCAATGTTTCAAGCATAAAATCACACAAAACACAAAGAAACGCACAAACAACAAGTAAAACAACTAAATAGGCAGATTCTACATAAACAACAAAGGGAAGGGTTTAGGAACGCAAATCTGGAATTGGAGTGAGTCCGAGAGCTTCCTTTGTTGAATTGCATGGGTTGCCTCCCAAGTAGCGCTTTCTTTTACGTCTTGCAGCCGGACGTTGC